TAATATTATATAATATATCATTAAAATAATATTGTAATCATTAGAAGTGATCATGATATGAATTATTTGGACTAGAATTTTATTTACTGTGCTGACTTATATTTCATTCAAAAATGTACAAAAGGAAATAAAAATCTTGTACATTTGGCCTAGTTGTAATGTATAATTGGTCAGAAAAAAACAGATTTCAATCTTTGAAATTTATAGTTTGTTTTCAGTTAAAAACAGGGCTCTCTGCTCAATATGAGATTCTGCTGATATGGATTTAATGTGGAAAGGACTTGGGAACGATAGTAATGTACAACAGTGAAAAGCCCTGAAATAAATAGGGAGGACATAAACAGAACACCATTCTGTCTGGTTATGATCTTTCTTTTTTTCTACAGGTAAGAGATGAGAGGAATATGCTGAAGGTTATTACTCGAATGAACAGAATTTCAATGATTCTGAAATTACTTGTGGAACAGTTCTCAGTTTTGGAAACTATGACTGCATTGGACTTCTTTGATTTCAGGTAAATACTTACTATTCCTCCTCAGTAATCCACGAGCTGGTAATTCCCATCCTTGGAACTGACTGCGAATATTGCACATGCTCTGGCAGCTTATAGTACATCATCATTCCGCAAGGTGAAAGCATGCCTTAGAGAGGCAACTGTGACACAGAGTGCCAGGGTCAATTAAGACGTTGAGCATGAGCGTGAGTCCAGCCTGCTCTGCAGAGAAGCACAAGTTAATTGTTGATGTTTGTGTGGTGCTGCTCAGTGGTTTCAGAGTAAGAAGTTAAACCAATAGAAACAACAGACATAGCTCACAGTTCCATTAACAATTTACTTGAAGCTTACCATTGCGCAGTTGCAGACGTATTCTGTGACAAATCACACAAGTGCTTGGGTGGGAGAAATGCACTCTCCGTAGACTGTCAAATAGATATTTCAGCTGTCTTTCTAACTGTCACAGTGTTTCCTTGCTTCATGTTTTCAGTGGGTCTGCAGTGCTGGAGGCTTCAAGCGGCTGAAGGAAGCATTGCTGTCTCTTCTTCTTTCTCCCCAGTAACTTCTGTTCTCCAGTAGCTGCCCAATGTATTGCTGGGCTGGTGGTTGGTAGCTCTTCTGCCTTCTGCCCAGGTTTCTTTTGGGATCCTTGGCTTGCCTCACTTCTCCCATGGCACTTCTCTCTCTTCCCTCACTTCAGCTAGGTCCTTCCCACTACACCACCATGTTTGACAACTTCACCCACTGTCTGCCTTCCTGTTCTTGTTCTGCTTGTGTCACTGACCCATCTGTTTTGTGACCTCAATGCTCTCCAGCATCCCATCCACTTCTGCCGTGTTTTAGTACTCTTTGCTTTCTGGCTTTTAATGTTCCCTAACTGAAAAACACATAAAACTACAACTTTGCTTCTCTTGGAAGTTTGAAACATCTGTATTATATAGCATTACACTCCAGCAGGGGAAATCCATGGGCTAGTCATCTGTTTTGATGCATTCTTGCTTCTGCTTTTCAATAACATACTGTCATTTGATGTGCAAACATGAGATCAAATCAATAACCTGCATCTCCCAAATCTTGTATTTGCAATTCAAAGTGCATTACAATTATCTAGCCATGTGGGATTTCGCATTAATTTTATTAATGATATTTTTCACTATGGTCATGTGATTTAACTCTGAAAGAAACCCATTAATGAATCCCCCAAACAAATCCCATTAAATGTTTTCCTGAGCATTATTCTATTGTCTACATAGCAATTACTCTGTGTAACAAGCCTATTTAAAATGCATTCATTGGCACTTTAATGATGTGGAAATGTTTGTAAAACTATTTGGGGTGAAGCTGCTTATTCTGTCTAGAAAGGAAATTATATTCACTAGTGTTTCCTCCTGTACATCACACATGCAAGGCTGCCATTTTAAAACACAGTACAAACATAAGTGTGCGTGTGTATACACAAACAATATATAGCTAGAAAATTTGAATGTGATACATACATTGTAGTTGTATTAAAATACTGGCTTTTTCTTAATTGCAATAATATAGAAATTGCTCAGATATCTATTTGAAATTCTTCAAATGTGGAATATGTATTTTTTTTTATTTTGTTGAGAACCAGAGAATGCCACCATTGTGAAATGATATCCTCTATTTTTGTATCTTCTTTTCTTCTGTTCCCAAAGATACTACCTAAGCCCAGCCTCAGGTTTTCAGAGCCTGCAATTTCGCTTGCTAGAGAACAAAATTGGTGTTCCCCAAAGTCTGAGAGTCCCCTATAATAGAAGGCATTATCGTGATAACTTCAAGGGACAGGATTACGAACTCCTGCTACAATCAGAGCAAGAACCAACACTGCTGCAACTTGTGGAGGTAACACTGCCTAAGACCTTGCCTCCCCAAGAATGTCCTTCTTTGGTGTCAGTGACAAATTCTTCTTCCTTGAGAGAAGCAAGCATGTTGGAAATTTCCCTGTCAATTGTGTTTTGGATTCTTACCAAATTTTGTACGATAGGGAGCTAGTCATTAGTAAACCAATGGATTTTTCACAGCATTTCCTCTTGTCTGAAAAGTCTGACTGTTAAACTAGTAAATTACATTGTGGAAGTATGAGCTAAAAATATAAATGTAGTGTTTCACTCGCATTGCTTTCATGACCGTAAACCCTTTTTAGAAGAAAAAACTTAAGTATTTCCGCTGTAAGTGATGACTATTAAAGAGGTTAAAAAAAAAGGAAAAATGACAAGCCAAAATGGAAAGGAGAAAAGATGTTTAACAAATGTTTCATTATCACTTACCTTGATTTAATGACTTTGTCTCAAAGTTATTGATGGCTCTCAGTAATTTCTCTAACTCCCTTGTCATTTTCATACACAAAATCAACAAAACTTTCTAAAGAATAATGCAGTATAAACCTCAATAAAAGCATCCACTCCTATTAGCCCTATCCATTTGTCTAATGACACCTGATACCGAGTATATACATACAAGACTTCACGCTCTCGTATCTTTCAGATGAGGAGCTAAATTAAATGATCTCTAAAGGAAGTTTGACCATAAAGATTCTTAATTTATTTTCCCCTCCTCATTTCATTCCCATTATTAAAAGGAAATCAAAGAGAAGGCTTTGCTAACTGCCAAGTAAATTTGTGTCTTGTATTACGACATATTTTGGTGTATGCTAATGTATGCTGCTTCAGCCTGTCTGACATGATAAAATCTGATTGTACAAGTAGATGGTTCTATATCTTCCGAGATTTATCTTTAACATTATCCTACACATGTGGAATTAGATTGTTTTCCTATATCTACAAGGACATCAGTTTTAAAGACACTCTTAAAATGAGGCAGCTTTTGTCTTCCAGCACTGGTCATTTAACTTGGAACCTGTGGGTGTTTGCACAGCACCGTTTTGCAGGTATAAATCTTCTACATGGACATGCTTACTCTAGCAATAAGCAACTCAATGGGGTATTAAAGCAGAACAACTGTAGCAGTACAATTTATGTTTCTATGACTTGTAATTCTAGGGTAATGTGCTTGCATTATTAATGTTTGAACATTATTATTATTGTTGTTGCTGTTGTTGTTATTGTTGTTATTATTAAAGGCATGGTTGGAAAGAACTCCAGGGCTCAACGCAGATGGATTTGATTTCTGGGAACAATTTGAAGTGAATGTTTTAAAAGGACTAGAAGAGGAATTTGCCTTGGTGCAGGTATATAGCGTATTCTTGATCTAGCTATAAGTAACGATAGCTGGCAAAATGACATCCTGTCATAAATGTGACTTTTGGGCCAATCACAATTTCTCACTCCAGTTAATATTCACCAGCTCCTATCAGCAACAAGCATAAAAAATTGCAAACTCTTCCAGGAAATCCGCATAAGTTTGTAATCTGACATCTAATATGGTTTAAAACATGTGACACATGGATTATTTTGATTGCTAAAGGAAAGGGATAGTGTCAATGGAAGGGCTGAAATGGATTTTACTGAAACTACAACTTCACCTTCAGTTATTACTTGCATCTATAGTTCAGAGTAAAACCCCAGAAAGTTTGTGCCCTTGAGCTGTGGGTAGGGAGTGTCACTATAAACGTCCCATTTCTGTTTAACAGTATGTCACAATTTGATGCTACCTGATCATTTGAATTACACATCTGAATAAGCACAAGAAAATCCCCAAATATTGTAAGACTGGTACCTTTAAGTACATTTTTAATGGAAAAAATCACCATAACATAAGAATTAATCAATTTCCTGAGAATATCTGTTTACAGCTTTCTAAATTATCTGAACTTTTTTTAAACATTTTTCTTACTGATAGTAGTGCAAAGATGTTGTCTTTTTGCCTTGAAAAAAAAAATCAGACTTCAAATAAATTAAGATTAAATGTTTTTAAGGCCTCTAGACCTAAAGAAAAGTCATAAGCAGCCAGTTTGTTTGAACAGTCATTCATCTGAATTATGTTGACAGCTATTTAATTGTACATTTTGTAGTAATCGTGTTTTCTAAAGGACAGTGACTCAGAGACTCATCCACCTTGTTTGAAAATACAGTTCTTACATTTAAGATGTAAACTTGCAGAGTACTTATGATGAAAACAGAAGTTATATCATGGGCCATTCAAGTACTTAATTTTCCCTATTGAATTCTAAAACCTGTTGTTTTTTTTTTTTAATATCAAAGGCCAAGCCAGAATCAGAAGAAAAAGATGACCTATTATCTGAATTCCAAAAACAGAAAGATGTATTACTTTCATTATTTGATGAAAAACGCCACGAACATCTGCTTAGTAAAGGTAGATTGTATTAATGTATGTCACTATGCACTGTTTATTTTTTATACATGATGCATATAATCACATAATAGCTTTAAAGTTGCAGGAGAATCAGCAGCAAACTAAGGACACTTGTATTTTGCAGGAGAAAGACGACTGTCTTATAAAGCACTGAAAGGAGCCTTAATGATCTACTTCTACAGGTAATGATGTTAGAAGATAGATGTTTAATGCTTACTGGCAGGAGAGGGGAAGGTTAAGGACAGCTGTACAGGTTTATTCAGGTTGGAAGAGGCCTTGTAAAGTAATCTAGTCCAACCCTCCACAAAAACCCAGATAGTTAGGTCCAACCTGAAGGTCAGATCAGGCTGCTCAGGGCTGTGTCAAGTTGAACTTTGAATACCTTCAAGGATGGAGGTTACACAGCCTCTCTGGGCAGCTGGTTCTTGTCTGACCAGATGCTGCTCCTCAGACTGAAACCAGCAAAGGCCTTGTTCAAACTGTTCTACAAAGTGTCATAAAAAGATTTTGAGTATTTTTCCAAGTATGAGGGAAAAGGCACGGATTGAAACTTAGATGGCAGTAGCATTTGCTAGAATATCTATGGACATTTCAATACCAATTAGGAAAAACATACATTGTCACTATTATGCACTGGTGAAGTGCTGCTTTGAGAAACACAGCATGTCATAAGAGGTCTCACTGTCTTCTCTTTCATTTTCAAAGGGAGGAGCCTCGTTTTCAGGTTCCCTTTCAGCTTCTTACCTCCCTTATGGACATCGATGTGCTCATGACCAAATGGAGATGTAAGTTTTCCTTTTTGACTGTGATGATATTCCCTCTTTTAGATGCGAGTAAGCTGTTCTGTTTCACCGTCTTTTAGACAATTTATACCCAGAGTTTTAAAATTGAGCTTTTGAGTTCATCCTTAAGGAATGACTTTTTCTGTTGTTCGTACTTCGGCCGAGAGGAAAGATGAACAGCTGCTTCTGTGATCATTAGATACATATGTATAGCTATCCCTTCTGTCACATGCTTTAAGTTAAGGTAACAATTTCATTTAAGGGACAGGCATACATTTTCTGGTGTCTGCCAAAAAGTCATCATGACATCTCTTCATATGCAAACATCCTTCTGCTCCTTCTCTATCTAGATATCCGTAAATGACTGCATTAATTCTGTATTAATAGAGCATAATAATGTATAATAATTGGTGTAGTCATTCTGCATTAACAATAATTTTATATTAGTTGACTGAAGAGTAGCATAATTAACTCCTGCATTGCTGAAGACCTAGTAGTTCTGTATCTCTGTAAATATCTCTGTATGGTCTTTAATATTTCAGTGATGCACCTTGATGTGACCCTCTGGTTATATCCTAACACTGAACATATGCCATGTTCTTCTTTTGTGTTACTTAGATAACCACGTCTGCATGGTGCACAGAATGATTGGCAGCAAGGCTGGCACCGGAGGCTCATCAGGCTACCACTATTTGCGCTCAACAGTGAGGTAAGAATAACGCATTTCCCCCATTACCTGCGATAATGCAGTTTGTAGATTCTCGTAATGCCAGGAAACAGACTTCAGATGGCTCATGGGAGGCCAGAGGGCTGCTGCTTCTCTTTTGGGACTCTAGCATTTCTTCCTAGTTGTTGTACATTTATTTAGCAGCAAAATTTGAGGATTCAGCTAGGTAGACAATTCAAGCCTTTTAGCTGCAACTCTGTCCTTGACAGTCCTGAATGACATGATGTCAAAAAGCACAAGGATATTTAGAATACCTTCTTCTAAGAGGAAAACTAAGAGAAACCATATGTAGCTGGTGACTGCCCTGTAATGCAGTGGGCAATGATTCCCATGACTGAAATCAAAGATTAAAGGTTCACTGTCTTTTGCAGCAACCCTTCTTACTCTTAATTTCAGGTTAACATTCTTCCTAAATAAATTCTACTTCATATCTAACACAAGGCAGAAACTTTATTTAATATCTAAAAGAGATGGAAGGATTCAGGACGATTTTGAAATTACATCTTTCTATGCCAGCATTAATTGTTACGATTGTCTTTTTCAGTGACAGATATAAGGTGTTCGTGGATTTGTTCAACCTTTCAACGTTTCTAGTGCCGAGACACTGGATACCAAAGATGAACCCAACCATTCACAAATTCCTTTACACGGCAGAATACTGCGACAGCTCCTATTTTAGCAGCGACGACTCAGACTAGCTTGCCTTTCCAGACTGGCTGCTGTACAGAACTTTGGGACTTTCACCTCAAGTGGTGCTATCCCTCAAATATAACAGCTATTCTCACACAGTGTGGGTGTGTAAATACATATTTATGTATGACAGCTATGTGAATAGTACGATTAGCTTGTGGAAGAAACTTAATTGTTTATAGAAAAAATAATCTATATTGAGTTAGCCTATTTAAGACTAACATGACACCCCTTTCAACTCCATGACCAATTTAACTTCTTAAAACCTACGTCTAGAGAGAGGGAGAAAATTACACAGAATTATCATGATTGTGTCTTATTTGTACATATTTTTCTATTTGTTGTTTGCCTAATGGCTGTTAGTATTTTGTTTCTTCCAGCAGAGGATGTAATTAGCCTCATCACTTTCAGAAAAATATTAGTTTCTGAGGTCCAGTGGAATTTCAAAAGGAACTTTGGGTCAAGTGTTTGAAAAGATAGATGTAAAAAAATGTTAAGTCCTGAATCTACAGCCACCCAAGCCTCTTGAACTTTTACATACAAAAGGAATCATGTTGCTACCTGTGTGTTGTTATACACAAATGACAAACCCTTCAGTAGAAATACTTACTGTTAAGAATGGATCTAAATACATACTCACTTTGCACTTCAATAAAGCAGTATTAAAAGTCTTCTTTTGTTAAGCCACCTTCTAAAGCAAGCATGAAGTTCAAACAACATTAAGACACGCATTTAAAGTGTTTTTTATTCAAAATATAATTGAAATAAGGATAAAACTGATATATAATAAAAGCAAGGCAAATCTGGCCAAGGAATACTGATAAAGCTGTGAAGTCCTCTCATTAGACAAACTCCCATCTTTTTATAAATGCTTCCCTTTGAAATACACATAACACTGTAGGCCTTAATTTCGGGGGAGCTGCTCTGTATCTTAGTGCTTTAGGTACTTATACCTAGTAGTACCACCTCAAAATCATGGGTAGGGCATCTGTGTTTGATACTACTATAACAACATTACTCTTATCAACGCCAGTTAGGAACTTTGGCTATTGTTTTCCAGTTACAGAAGAGTGCTATTTGTTGCTTGTAAACTGCTGAGGGAAGGCCAGACTACAGCTGACTAAGACTACAAAAGGAGAAATCTTCTGTTAGTCTGAAGTTTTCAGCCAGTAAATTCAGTAAGTAGCAGAACCTGAAGTAGTGAAACAGCACTTGGTCCTCCTTGCATTTATATTAACATTTAGAAAGACTAAAATGACAATACAATAGACAACAATGAACACTCATTGCATTGTCATAAAAAGGTGTAATACACTCATCTATTAACATGGCACAGTAACGGAGTGCAAAAATTACAGAACTGCTTCAATAACTTTTCATAGTGCTTCACAAAAAATCCAGATAAAACATTCCAGATGACAGATTCAGAGCATTTAAGAACTACATGTTTGGTTGTAAATTAGAGTTACATTTGCCTGCAAGTGCAGTTCTACAGGTCAGCAAAGCTGAAACCACTTTTTGATTCCCAGCAAGTCCTACCTGCCAATTCGATTAATGTAGGGAATTTAACATCCACTCTATTTGGAGTATTCTGTAATTACTGACTTTCTAAAGGTGGCAAATATATATCAACAAACCCCACCCTCTCAATTTTTTTCTTTAAGTAAGTTTTAAAATGTCTGCTTTGCAACTGGCTTCACTGTTAGTTGTGAAGCAGAAAACAGAGAAGGCATGGACCTGGCACAGCTCTGAAAGCACAGAAAGGTTGATTTGCAAACACATACACCCTGCCAGGACACAGGATGTGAAACCAGTAGAACTGCCTCCATTTTTGTCTAAATAGAGTTACTTCTTCATTTTCTATCCATCTAACAAATTAATCCAGAAGACTCTGCTATTCCAGGCACTTTCCAACACATGCACTCTGCTCTGAAGAGCCCTGAAGTTGTATTTACCCAATAAAGGTCTGAAGACTGATATTGAAAGACTGCAGCGCCTCAGAGACAGTGGGTGTTTGGGGAACAACTTTGATTACCCATTTCCGTCTCCTATTGTTCTAGCTGTAGAGAAAAACTAGGAATTCACAAAAAGGAGGAAAACAAAATGTGTGTCTGTCAGAGGTGCTAGATAAGCCAAGACAGGTATCAAAGCATAACAGAGAGAATATATTCCTCCAACTGCCTTTCTTCTCTGCCCAATAAAAACAGACCTAATCATGGTGGTTCTTATATTCAAAGCATTTTGATTATATTCTTGAATCATAGAATGGTTTGGGTTGGAAGGGACCTTAAAGATCATCAAGTTCCAAGCCCCTGGCATGGGCAGGGACACCTTCCACTAGACCAGATTGCTCAAAGCCTCATCCAACCTGGCCATGCAGGTCTCCAACACCTTCTGTCATACTATTGATTATTTAATCCAAATTCCTTATAATTTTTCATCACTTCTTTCATTGTAAGATTTTTTGAGTAGTATTCAACACCTGGATAGAGTCCACATTCACAGTTTCAGTCCATCTTTGTAACTTTTTTTGTGTACTCTGTAGTTGATTCCAAGTCTTCTTACTCCATGAGTGATTTGATATGCAACACATATTCCAAATAAAAACATTTTAAAAAGCTCCAGCCAACTCATTCCTGTACTGCCGAAAAGCACGAAATGCCCTTACAGTAATTTCTTATTTTAGATAATGTTGCTTTGAAGTAAGTCTTCACACACATGGTGTGCCAAATTATTATCCAAATGATAATTGTGGTCTTTGGCCAGTAAGTGTCAAACAAATACTGATGAAACTGTATCTGCTATACCTACAAATAAAACAAACAAACAAAAATTTAATAAATATTGGAAGTGGAGGCTTGCCAGAAATAAGTTACCAGAATTCATATTCATATAACGTCCTCTCCTCCAAGCTCTGACAGTAGATAAACTGCTGGGGTGGGGGGACAGGAAATCAGCTGCAACCCTTTCATTCCTTCACTGCCTGACACTATAGTCGTGCTCTACACTCCTCCCTCCTCTGCCTTCATGTTCAAAACTAGATCCTTTCTGAGGATTTAGCATTGGTCCAATCTGCCTACTGAAAAGCAACCTATACCTTGCTATCCTCTTCCATTTTAATCCTACTCATTAGCAATAGACAATATGAAGATATGTAGCATTGAAAGCTCATGCAAGAGACTAGAGATGACAAATTCCATTACAAGACACATTTTTGAATACTCATACAAACACAGAACAAACTAGGCTTTTATTTATGCTCAGTTCTTTTTGCATTGTTGTACTCTTTCCAGTACTAAAAGCAAAAATCTGACTACAGCCTGTGTAGTAAGGGTAAGGGTAATTGCTCTTATATCCTCAAAAGTAGTGTCAGAGCACCTCTAAATCAGAAGACAGCATCTGTGGGGGAAAGAGAGCAACTAGTGGTCTTTGCTAGATTGTTCTTGTGTGACACACTACAGAAAACGTGAAAGATACTGCTTTATGAGAAAATGGATTTTGAAAACACCACAGCTGTTCTTCTGACCACCTCTACAACTGACTTGCTTTAATTATCACTAATTCTAAATTTCTCTTTCCATATAGTTTGTTTATACAACAACATGAACAAAAAATCCCAGCAACGTGTAAAAGTTGTGATACATTGTCCTGATCTTCACTGAGTGCATGGAAACTGAACACTATTCTATCTGCAGATGATTTACATCATCTAATACCTTTTACAATCACTGTGAGAGCTACTTTGAAACATTCGTGGAAGGGAAAGCCAACAGAAGACCTACAGTGTTAATCTAACAGACAAAAATTCAATGGGCACACCGCACTTACTATCTAGTAGTCCAATCCCACCAATTTGGCTCAGCAATCTTTGCTGGTAAACAGGAGTTTCATCTGCCTTACCTCCATGTCCAGCAACTCAGAAGAAACTGGTCATTTAGCATACAAAACACGCTCAGATGCCAACAAAAATCTCATGCAAGCAGTAATAGGACGAGAGATGGAACTAGCAATAAAAGTATATACCTCTATCCTACCAGAAAAGCCACAAGCAGTGTTCACAATTCCCAAGCACAGGCAGAGCCACTCTCCATATTTTTTTGCCAAACTTGTCCTTCAGCAGCTGTTTTATGTACAGTGAGTATAGCTATGGCGCTAACCTAGAACCCCGACACATGACTGTATACTTTACAATGCCATTACCTCTATGTGGTAAGGTACAATAGCACTTTATTATGCCTTATATGGCTTTACCTTTGCATGGTGTTTTTCAATCATTCAACTATATGGCTTGGTTGAACTAGCAACCATTTTACTTACTTTTCCACCTGGACTCATCTAACCTCTTTTAAAACAGCAATATTTCCTCTCTGAGGATCCCATTATATCACTCTACCTACATGGAGAAATGCATCCCAGCCTGTGGCCTTTACCACTTTAATTATTTTTTGTCAGACTTACCACAGACATTGCTGCCTATCTTAACATGAACATAGCCATCTATTCCCCATGTAGGCCCCCAAGAGTTCTGTACAATCCAGTAAGGGGTACTACCTGAAAGAGATATTTTCGTAACAAGAGACAACATGAGACCTGGAAAGCATAACAAACTTGTAACACTCTACAGAGTTAATTACCATTTTAATATCTCATAGTTCCTGATGGTTTGACAATACAGTGCAATGAAACCTACTGCCGTTCACATAGAAGACAGAGCTAACAGTCCAGTGTTGAGCAGACTGGATATATCCTCTGCTAGTGTAAAGACACATATAGCCGTGTTTGTGACTTTACAAAGACACAAAGTCTCACAGAACTAAAGGAGCACAGACAAGAAGAGGTTTTCTCCTGGGATCAGGCTGCACTTCCAGAACTGATGTGACACCAAACTAAACAGCTCTTAACAGAAGACCCAGTTCTGGATTTTAATCACCTGCCCCACAGGAGGCAAGTTGCAAGTAAGAGAAAAAAAAAAAAACCACAAAACCTACTGGGCTGAAGTTCAGTTGATGGAAACGCACCTGTTCTGTCAAAACCAGTGATAAGAACAGCATGATTTGCTCTTCCACTGGAGCAGTGATATTGTATGATTCCACCAAGATAATCCTGCCAGCTAACCGCATCTACTGTTACTGCCAAAGGGCCCTGGTTAACAAGCATCCTCATCATTTCTTCTTCCTGACCACTGTGAAAGAAGTGAGTGATAATGCCAAGTGACTTAAGTTAGCAAACTAAACTACTTAAGTACCATTTAAAAATCAAATAATTCAACTGTCTCTGATGGGTTCTACACACCACATAACGTACATCAATAGATACGCATTTCATATAGTACAACACAGTAATACAAATATAGGGCACACAGAGTATGGGAAAGGTGCAGATGCAAACATACGATCCTATTAAAAAGAAGCAGGTTTTTGGGTCAAGTCATTGGGCAATGGGGAGCACCATGTACCTTTTACACACCACTCTTCTCAATTAAAAAACAGCTTTAGACAAACCATTAGTCTATGTTATTATTTGCCATTATTCTTCCAAACATACATATTCTAGTGCATTACTGAGGTGCTGCTGTATCTCAAACATATCGAAACACAGGACATTACCACTATCAGACATTACCATTAGCATCCTCATACAGTTCTACTTATGTAATATACTGGAATAGAAAATCTTTTATCACTGCATGATATGTGTAATAACTGAATTTGGCAAATACCAACTGTCAAAGCTATAATTTATTTTAGTTACTTTTATCTGGCAGTAATTTGATTCCTAGTCAAAATTATATTTCTTGTCTTGAAGTTCAGTATGCAGCTGGATTGTACTGAAAAAAACTAGAAACAAACTTTCTTGGCACAGGAACCTAAAAAGCTACCAGTTGTCTTTACAAAAAGTTCAGTTGACAGCACTGTTTGCTAAGTCACAGACTGGAGGAGGATGCAGGTGGGTATGTAAATGGATGAATACTGAAGTAACTGAGTACTTCCTAAATGTTTCAACAGAGTCCAATTACTACTGTTAGGATTTATTGTTTCTGATACTCAAGCAGTGTAATGCTTACTTCGTGTATATGAAAAACCGTAACTGACTCAATGTTCCAGTTTACACAGAGCCAATTTAAAAGACCTAATTTCAAGACACAGACTTAAGCTTTCCAATTTCAACAGGCTTAGTGATGGCTGGGTTGAGAGGACTCATCATGGCAAACCTTAACTCTCAAAAATGTTATGTATTAAGTCTTATCCAGCACACAGCTACAGAACTGATGCAATCAACCTCATAACCTTTGCCTGGTCAATGCACTATTGGCTCTAGCTTACTCCCCACTTAGTGAACACAGCAGGAAAAGTACAGCAAATAAAAAGAATAAATAGTAGCTACCTGAAGTCATATGCAGCAAATCCTGTTATGGAAACTCCAAAATCTGAGCGACCAAAATAATGGCAAAGTCCTGTCTGAGCTTTAAAAGTGTATTCGGAATCTCTCACGAGTTTTACTTTTGTCTGCAAGAAGGTAGATGAATGAGAATTTAATGCATTTGACTTTAAAACTCTCAGATCAAAACACATCGAAACTGATCACAGAACTGACTCAAAACTCAGTGTGTTCTTTGGTGAGACTAGAAATAAGAATGTCATGTTGGGAAACAAGATATTTACTATCTCTAGTTTCCTTGTTTGCAGAGAAAGTTTCAGAAGGGATTCAGAAATCTTTAAATAATGAACAAACTTGAAAAACTATCTCTAGTTTAAATTATCTTCATGAGCAATTTAATCAATTTCAAGACAGACTAAGCATTCATTTAGCAAATGACTATCCATTCTCTTCAAATGACATCCACACACAAAATTATCCTCTCCTTGGGACAGTTCAAGAGCCACAAATATCCCAAGAACAGGTATAGAAAATATTGAAATTAAGTACAATTCTGCTATTAGCATCAAATCCTCATGCTAGTATACAACGTATTACAATGGCTGCTGCAGTTCAAAGTCCAGCTACAAAGGTATTGCATCAACCTTCTCCACTTGTCTTCTGCAGCACAGTATGTTTATGACAGCAGGTTCTCCAGTCTAATTCATTGATAGTCCCTCTATTGCCAAGCAAGAGGAAATTTTGCTCTAGAGGAATCCTGAGGAATAGCCTCTGACTTTACTGAAGTGCAAACCTAAACACGTTATCTAGACTGTTATTAGCCAGAGTTATATGAATCTTTAGGGGTAGAATTACAGAGTTTTTTTAAAAAGGACAATCACCTTTTTTTTTTTTTTTTAAACTTACGAAAACTAAGGAATTCTTCTTATATTCTAATCACTCAAACTGTCAGCCTAGAGAGCAATTTTTATTTCAAAAATATTAAAATATTTCTGCTTACATATATTATTAACACCAATTTTTCATTTTTCATGAATGAAAACATGTTAGCTACAAATGAAGTAGAAATTATGCCTGTATTTTCACTGTTTTGGGTTGCAAATGAAACAAAGGTAAATGCAGTCAATTTTATTCTGAGGTTCTCCATGCTCCTGCATGATTTTACAGTATTTGCAACAGCAACCACAGAAATTTGAAAGCAGCAAATCTCAGTGTGCCTCCTTTTCCCCAGATGCTGGTACCTAAACTGGACACTCAAATCCACAAAATGACACGTGGATAAATGGCTCTTTCTATGCTGGTACTATATGTTTGCAGCTCCAATTGAATTCTGTGGAAATACTGTAGCTTTCAAGAAACATGATTTTCAGCCCCTGTGGATTGATTTGGTACATTCACAAGAACATACATAGATTATAAAATTCCAATCAAGTTTCAATTCTGCTTGAACTCTCTCTTGATTCCAGAATAAATAAATAAGCATACAGACACACACACATACGTATATGCATATGTACATGCATATACACACACACATTAAAAAAAAATCAAATGACCTGTACACTCCGCCTTCCCCATCACTTTCTACCAGTTAAAAACCACGTTAATATGAAAGCTAAGGAAGGGTTCAAGATTTATGAAAAGTTTCAAACCTGGTTCAGCCAGCTCAAAGCACTAACAGTCGATCCCCCGCTGCAGCCATAATTATTGTATGAACAGTCAATAACTTGCTGCACGCTGAGTTCTTCCAGGTTATTTCCTTTAATTGCATAGGCAGACTCTATACCACCCACAACGCTGAAAGCCCAGCAGCCTCCACACTGGTACAGAGAAAGGAAACAGGAGAAAGAAAAAGTCAGCTTTGCTTTTAAAGCCTGATATGAAAAGAGTCAAAAGAGTCTTCTAATGCTCTTCATTTACTACATCATCCTTGATCTTTGTTTTTAAGGCAATTTAACAAACCATTTAAAATAATTAAACTGCTTTTTTCCCCCTGTACTGCTCTCTGAAATCTAGAAATGCATTATGGGTGTCTTATTTTAAGGATTCCTGCATTGTGGTTGTCTGATTTTAAGGATTCCTCCCTGATTAATTTTTGCCTTTTAAGATAGGCCCGAGGATGCTTTTTACTGTGAGATATCTAGTTTCTTGAAGAAAGATCTGGGCTCAGGATGAAGTTATTTTTTAACCACATTACTACATTTTTGAAAAGGATGCACTTAAGGAGACAGTCTACAACTTTCTACAGTTTGAAGAATTTTACAGAAATATATTACAGTTCAAGAAACAGTAAACTGAAATTAAACATAATAGAAAAATTCATAGACAGTTACAGAATCTATACTGCAGTTCCAGGCTCTTTAACTGTGGCATTTAAAATAGAAAGCAGAATTTACTCCCAGGGAAGGTTCAGGTTACGCTATGTGAAGCACAGAAAGGAAAGATATTGGGGATTTAACAGCTTGTTTGTTTCTTACCAGTGACCACATCCACTCTGTGATAAAGTGTAATCATGTGGGGTCTAGTTATCTCCCTATCAAGAATACAACCCCTGAGGTGTTCAGTGATAAAGACAGGAGTGTTGACCAGCCAAGGGCATTCCAACCCGAAAACCACAGCAAAGGATCTACACCCATCCAAGTGAAACAGGAGGATGAGGTCAAGTACTGAACTTAACTCAGTCTCATCAGAAAGATAAAAAACACACACAGTGCAAAATATTTGCACATTCAGTTAACTAGATCAAAAAAATATATTACACGTGCAAAATTTCAAAGTGCACAACTTTTACACTTCATGCTTTTAAGTCTAAGGTCACTTTGCATAAAATGCTACGTGGCTTTGTATATGCTCAACCAGCCATACTTGTGCCTGTGCCTCAAGGAGCCTTGAGGCAGTGCTAGTCCCTTCCAAAACCTTCACTGGGCTTTACAACGTACCTGTTGTAACTCTCTCTGAGCAGTGCTTGAGAACCAGGAAAGGAAAACACCAGGACTTACTGTTTGCTGATTTCTCACTTGTGCAATGACTTTCTTGTCCCTCCAGTCAAACTTCTTTGGCAAGGGTTTTTCCTTTCCCTTTGGCACGTTTATGTATCTGGGAAGTTTGTGAGGTATGCTTCTTAAGTAAATAGCTAAACACAGAATGCAAACATCTATAAATCTACTAACTAAAAAAAACCCAAACACAAACTATTTTCCTAGAAGCCACAGAGGTCTGTAGTTACAATCATGAGATTACATCTCATTCTCAAATCCATAGAAAATTCATGTATTTAAAAATAATCATTATACTCCAGAATGAATGTAAATATTCCTACTGTTCCAGAAAGAACACAAATATTCTATGTAGGGAACGTGGGTACAGAATGTGAAGATTTAGTAAAGCTAACCAATAACCATTCCGTAAAGCAAGTTTTGCTTTGAAGTTTTCATATTTTACTTAGTGGAAAAAAATATTACTTTATTTAAGTCAAGTAAAAGTGGAAAAATAAGAGGAGAATAATTTTAAAATTCTGAAACACACTCGAAGTGCTAGTTTTTTACTAAAAAAAGCTGCTTAATTATTTAAAATTAAAAAGGGTGTAAGATCCCCCAATGAACATAACATACAACAGCAGACTTGAACGGCAAGGGAAGATTAGTTTAATTATCAGACAAATTTTCTTAGTAAAAAAAATTAAGCATGCCTTATTGCTCCTGAAAGTCACAGCTATAATTGACAGCCTTGGATCTCCAAGCATTGTTTGGATTGCAGTCAATTTTGCCTTGGGATAGGGAATAGGAACTTAAAATTACTCAAGAATCTTGTGTATTTTCCAATTTTACAACTGTTGCAACTGAAAAAGCAAGGCCCACTGAGAAGAAAGAAGGGGAGAAGGGTCTGTATACTAAATCAAGTGCAGGCTCTGGACAATTCAACCTTGCAAGACTAGAGAAACATGAAGAAGATTGTTGTATCCTTCAGAAGTACTTACAGTTTGGTATCAGACATTGTAAACTAGCTGACTATCAGCACTGGAAGAATCTGTGAATGTGAAAGATACAAGGTTCTGGAAAAGAATAAGAAGACTATCAGAAAAGGCATTAGCAGCCAGAAAAATGTACCTTTGAACTCTTCAGGAGACAGGTGAGAAAACTGATTTATTCCATAGAAAGCAGTCATATTATCTTTCGATGATGAATTCAGCAATCTAATTCTTTTATCACTTTCCTGAAGAAAAAAAATATATATATTGTGGACATTATTAAGTTAGCAGTAGCAACAAAACCATAAGAGCAGAAAAAGAAAAGTTCAGCAACAGTAAACGTGAACTTAGATAACAAGACAGCTGTTCGCCTCGGATTCATCGTGAAAACCAAACTGAAAGCCAAACCAATGTGAAAACCATTACACTGATTTCAACCCCAAGAAAGACACTAAAAAAAAGCATCTGTTAAGTGCATAGTGGTTAAAAAAAAATGATAAGAGACAGACAAAACAGGCAAGCTGAAAACAAATTGTATCAAACTCATCTGATGCCCTTCTTGGGCTGCACAACAAACCTTGGGGGTCAGAGATACCTAAAAATGACTTCAGATAAGAGTTAACCCTGTCTTGCTTTATGTCCTTGTAAAACAAAGAACAGGACAATGGCCTGAAGGAGGGGGCACCACAGCGGGCACGGGGGCGCCGACTTCTCCCAGTCCCCCCATTTCCCTGAGAAAAGGCTCTGACAGCAGCCCCGGGCAGCCGGCCACGGCAGGCACTGGGGACACGGCCACCGCCGCCCCCTCGGTCCGCGACCGACACCTGGCGACAGAGACAGCGCAGGGAGAACAGCAGCGGCACCCCAGTCCCAGCAATCTGAGGGGACGCCGAGCAGGCAGGGCCGAAAAAAAGGCAACAGCAAAGGCTGCCGGAGCGGGTTTCGGTTCTGGAGGCTGAAGAGCTGCCGGGACATCTTCCTCCACCCCGCACCCTCCAGTCACCCGCCTGGCAGCGGCACA